GGGGGGGGAGAGGCGCGTGCGGAGGGGGCGGGCTGGCGGGAGCCCGCGGGCCGCCTAGCCCACGCGGCGGGCGGGCACGCGCATGGCCCTGATTGAGACGCGGCCAGGGGGGGGCTTGCCCTGTCCCGCGCGCCGCCTGCCCCGTCCCGCGCGCCTGGCGCGAAGGCTGAGGTAACGGCAGCCGCTGTGAGGGCGCCCCATTGGCGGGGCTGTGGGGCCGGCGGGCGCATTGCGCGCACGGGGACAGGCGCTGCGGGGGCCCGGCCCGGCCCGGCCCGGCGGCTGGCGTGAGGTGCCCCCTGGCTCCCCCCGCTACGCTGCTGTGTTTAGTCGGGTGTCGCCCTGCAGCCCCCCTGTGATGGCTGCCGCGGGCTACACAGGAGCCAGTGCAGAGCAGGGCCCTGGCCCCGGCCTGCCACAGCCTCGGCAACGCCCCAACCACAAGGGCAGCCGTGATAAGCTCTTGGCCTCAAGGACATCCTGTGGCAGTGAGTTCCTTCGTCTAATTGTCGTGGCCACCTTGTCCTTTCATTGACCGGCCCCTCACTCTTGACTTGTGAGACAGGGCGAACGGACGCTCGCCGTTTTCCTTCCCCAGGCGGTTCATTATATTACAGACTTTTACGTGAGAACGGCCACGCTGGGTCAGACCAAGGGTCCATCTAGCCCAGTGTCCTGTCTGCCGACAGCGGCCAGTGCCAGGTGCCCCAGAGGGAATGAACAGCACAGGGCAGTTATCCAGTGATCCATCCCCTGTCGCCCATTCCCGGCTTCTGGCGGTCAGAGGCTAGGGATGCCCAGAGCATGGGGTTGCAGCCCTGCCTATCTTGGCTAATGGCCATTGATGGACCTGTCCTCCATGAACTTACCTAGTTCTTTTTTGAAACCTGTTATAGTTTTGGCCTTCACAACATCCTCTGGCAAGGAGTTCCACAGGTTGACTGTGCGTTGTGAGAAGTAGTACTTCCTTTTGTTTGTTTTAAACCGGCTCCCTATTAATGTCATTGGGTGACTTTTAGGATGTCTCCTTTTCTAAGGGGAACAAATCCAATCTCTCTTCCCAGGAGAGATTTCCCTGCTCCTAATTAATCTCCTCACCAATTCACCACACTGGGCTTCCCTTTGCACAGCCTTCTACCCCTCCCCCCCAACAGTGGACCTCCTCACAATCCAGCCTCAGTATTGTCACCCCCCAAGCATTGAAAAAATCATGACCCAGGTCACCTGTAATCATGAGATTACATATATATATGTGTGTGTATATATACATACATTGTGTACATTTTCTTTACCTTTTGGTGTTTCAGTCTTCAGGAGCATGTTCTTAAGCTTTTTCTCTGCATCTACAAGGACTAGAAATTTAACTTTTTCTTCTAATGAAAGCTGAAATTCTCCCATAATCACCTGATTCCAGGAACTGGCGTTTTAAGTTCATAGAATTTGCACAAAAGTTGGCAACAGTGATATACCAGGCCCCTCAAATCTTGCTGCCCTGACATCATGATTTTTGGAGGCCTGACTCCTGGTTTTTGAATGCATGGGGTTCATAATACTGCACAAGTTCAGTTTAAGTCAGAGAGCTGCAGGTTCTGAGCACGTCACTGAAAATCAGGCAGTAGGTCATGTGGAACACCTAGTCATTCAGGCACCCAAATTAGTTGATATGACACTTAAAAGTTTTAGCCTGTGTGATTCACTCAGGATCACACAGCAAGTCAGTGTTAGAGCTGGGTCTCCTGCCTCCCCTGCTCTTATCACTTAACGCTATCTCCTAGCCGTATGCTGCATCAAATAGCAAAAATATAAAATATATGTAGGTTGGTTATACCTGCTGTAATGGTTCAACAGCAGATTCTTACTCATGGAGAGATTTCTCAGAAGATACTATCAGGAAACTTTAGATTTCAGGAAGTCCTAGAACCCCAAAATATATAACATTGAATACAAGTAATGACATTTCTCCCATATTGGCAGCTGCCCCCCCCCCTTTCCCAGGAAACAGCAGGGAAATTGCAGGAGAGCCATGTAAGAGGAATGGGAAGTGTTATATAACCATCACAAAAGGGACAGCCGCCCTCACTATTGTAAACAGAGTTACCAAGGACACACGGACACCCCAGAGAATGGCGAAGCAGGCACAGAGCCAACTTCTGATCAGCCTCTCATGCAACTCTGTCAGCTTCCGACCCAGTGTTTAGCCTCCAAACTGCCTCGCTCTGAAGGAGGTAAGGGTCAGCTCTTGTGCCATTGTGGGGTAGCATGGCCCAGGGTTCACCCTCTTACGTGAGAAAGGATTACTCTATTGCAAATTTACCCTGCAAGGTTTGTGAGTGTATAACAGCCTGTACTATCGCTGTGTGTATCCATTACTAACATTCCCTGGTGATTGGTGCTAGTAAACACCCATAATAGGGCCATGTGTTGTTCCCCAGCCTTTGCTGCTTGCGTATGTTCAGATGACGCAAGGAGTATATACTGCTGCTCAGCTCATGTTATACATGTCTCCTTGATGTTTGTAGGGGCCGGAAGGAACGTCTCAAGACAGGGGTGCTGGAACAGTTTTTTTAGTGGGGGTGCTGAGAGCCATTGAACCAAACTGTAAACCTTGTATATGATGGAAACCACTTGAAGCCAGGGGATGTGGCAGCACCCCTACTTTTAACATTTATGTCTTGAGGTCCTCTCCAGCCCTACGTTTATATGATTCTATGATGCGCTGATGAGCCCATACCTATCTTGAATTACTCTTTTATGTATGCGTGACTGTGCATGTGGGAGGAAAGCTATTTGTGTTTGGTGCATGGCTAAGCCTTAAAGAACCTTTAGGCGGCTTTATGCAGCACTCTTTTGACTGCCTAACCCATGAAAACATGGAGAAGAACGGTGGTTAAAGTAGAGCAATGGAGGATAGGGAGTTCACACATTCGGTTAGCCTTTACCAACTGGGGGGAGGGTGGCGTTGTGAAGGATTTTTCTTTTTGATTAGTCTATTGTCTTTTTTGGCTTCTTTCTGTTTCATTCTATTGAATTGCTTTATTTATCTTTCCCTCTGTCTTTTTCAGTGTCTCTTTTCTCTCAGTCTATGGTTCTTGGAAGTTTTTCAAGTGTATTGTTAAGATTGTGGTATCCAAACAGCTAAAGTTATGCCTCTGTTTTAGGGACAGCTTGTCAGAGATTAATATCAATTGCCATTGTGATTAAGCTTTCTTTTCTCTGTACTTGCCATTTTTCTAGGTCCCCAGCACATGTTATCCCAAAGACATTTCTATCCTGGACATAAATGCTTACCTGCAGTATATGAAGTTTCTAATAAATATCAGTTATATGGACTGTAGTTTTGGGGTTTTATCAGGCATGACATTCTTCTAGGCTGTGCTGCAGATCTGAATTATAGTCAGATAAGTTCCGCTGCCTTTGTGGCATGCTGTGATAATGAGGTCATGTCTACATTACACAATTAAATCGACTTAAGTTAGGTCGATCTACAGCCACCGCAGTAATTAAATTGGCTGTTCGTGTGCACACTACCCTCCTTCCGCCAGCTGTGCGCATCCTCACCAGGAGCACTTGCACCGACTTAAGTGGGGCATTGTAGGGGGCTGCCCACTGGAGTCCCGCCATCCCTGGGCGGACTGCTGGCAGTGTGGCTCTGTCTGTCAGTCCCGGGACGGCAACTGGTGATGTAAGCAACGCAGTATCCACATAGATACTGCATCAACCTAACTACATCAACTTAAGTGCTTTGCCTTTCACCTAGGTGGAGTTATTAAGTCAGTATAGTGGGCAACTGACATCCGCGGGAGGGACATTTTAGTTTAGGTGCTTAGAGAGTAAGGTCAAAGTAAACTGCCTTAGGTCGACCTAACTCTGTAGTGTACACTAAGCCTGAGTTTCTTTCTTTGTGAGAATGAATGATTGTTTGACCAAGCTCATTTGTGGTCACCGTTTAAGCAGAATCTACCCTCTGCTAACAGGAAATAGCCAGAAAAGTTTCAATATGTTTCTATGTAGCATAAGGATTCAAGGAGCGCCATTTGGTAACAGATCCAGTGTCACTGATTGATGCAGTGTTTGCATATTCCAAATGGGGATTTCAAGATTTTTTTTCTCACTCTCAAGCTGCAACACTGATCCCTTTACATCCTGCACTTCTGTCTTGTTCCTTAACCTCTGTAAGGCACAGGCTTGGAACAATACACCTCTACCCTGATATAACGCGACCCAATATAACATATATAGCGCTCGGGGGGGGGGGGCTGCGCACTCCGGCGGATCAAAGCAAGTTCAATATAACGCGGTTTCACCTATAACGCAGTAAGATTTTTTGGCTCCTGAGGACAGCATTATATCGGGGTAGAGGTGTAATTCTTTCTGTTTGTCATTCATACTTTTGAAGGAAAAAAGTAATGGAAATGTATCCCATTTATTTACACTCAAAATGTAGTATCTGATTCAGAAGATGAGCCAGGCAAATATGCATTAATCATCTATACTGTGATCATTTGTTGAACGGTAGGGACGCCATTGTTTTTGATGATCAGATTTGTTTCCTTGTATGAGAAGGAAAGCCAATGGGTGGTAAAGTTTTCCAAAATAATCTTATTAATTTTCATGCAGTTTTTTATTACACAGTATTATTAGTGAAGAGGTGATACGGTTTTCAGTCCGCTACGCTCCAGTAGGAAAGGAAATAAAGATTACTTACGTATCAGCATGCACATAAGTGCAATGGCATAATTACACAAAGAATATTTGCTCAGAGGTTGGAACAAAAACAACCACCTCCAAACTCTGAATGACTTGAAACCACCTGATAGTGCACAGAGCTATGTAACCACATGGTCCTGTCACTGGGCTTGTCTTTGTTGCTGTGTTAGCTATTTGAGTGTTGCTCCTAACCAGACTATCAACCACACACAAATATGTCTAGCTTGAGTTAGGTGGTATTTTAAACTTAGCTGGCCTGTCAGGGAGTGGGGGGTTGAAGCTTGAGTGCTGCTGACACTAAGGGTATGTCTACACTACCCGCCGAATCGACAGGTAGCGATTGATCTATCGCGGATCAATTTATCGCGTGTAGTGTAAACGCGATAAATCGATCCCCGATTGCTCTCCCGTCGACTGCTGAACTCCAGCTCGGCGAGAGGCGGAAGCAAAGTCGACGAGGGAGA